TGCTGAAAACCCATGGGTTCAGTATATTACCGCTATCACATTGACTGAAGGGTGCTGTATATAATGAGAGTAATTTCTCATTTTGCATTGTTTCCTGTGTGAACTGGTGGCATTTCTGATAACATGGCTGGATTTGCTAATGCATGTTCTTATTTTGCCATAAAATGACTTTTCTTTCTTCCCACGTGGCACTACTAGCCAGACAATGTAGCTAGAAATTCATTTCTCCTGCAACCTGTGGAGCTGAAGACAAAGGAAGATGCTGACTGAATGATAAGGACTTTCCTCCTTTGTGGCTGATGCATCAAGATGCATTGCATGTAGCAACCTTTGCGCTCCTTATTCCGCTGTAAACGTGAAAGTATCTGCTGTACAACTGCAGTCATAACGTGCCAGTGGAGAAGTGGTCTAGCTGCCTTGCTTACAATACGCTGCCTTACTGGGAAGCTGTACATGGAGTGTCCCTTTGGAAATATGTTTGCCATCTGTGAGGTAATGGGACTCTGTCCTTTAGGTTTATGGCAGCTAATAGTGTAGGAGGTGCTGGAACTGGAAGCTAATAGGGGGTTTGGGAAGGCTACCAACATGTCCCCATCTTTCTGGAAGTGCCTTGGGAGGTAGAGGAGCATTTACCAGCCTGTCTGTTCCATCTGCTTTTTTAGCTGACAGCTCTGTCACAGTCTGCAGGAGGATTTCTAAAACCTCAAGAGACAGCACAATAGGGTTTGCAAACTATATCTGGTTGGGGCACCCTGCTGGACTGGGATCTCCTAGGAGATGACAGCGTGTAGGATGTCATCTGCGTGGTTTACATGGCGTGGGTAACTGGGCAGTCGCTGTGGACAGGCAGGATGCTATGGCTATTTCAAAGTCCCTGGGTTTGGGAGTGTTCGGTTTCTTCTCTTCCTGGTGAATCCTACAGTGTCTTGAGCTCTTGAATATGGTTTGTATTGTGCAGAAGAACCTGAATAACAGCACAGGCAGAGCTTGTATGAGCCTTGTAGCTACAGGAAATGTCCCATCCTTCTCTTCCATTTTTCTTGTTACAGCTTTGTTGCACGTGTCTCTTGTAGTTACGGCTATGAGATATTAAATAACTGTGGTAAGAAAGTGGTGCAGGGCACTGAGAGCGCGAAAGTGCATTTATCTTTTCTCATGCCTGCAATGCCCACAACATACTATAACCATGTTTGATTTGTATTTCTCAAGCACAGCCTGTCATTATCAATAAAAGAAAAGAAACCTGAGTCTAGGACAGATGACATGCTATCCTTGGAGAACCAAGAACTGACCGTTTCCAGTCTAGCACAGTCTGTCATAGCAGGTCTACTTCCTAAGCACAGAGTTTCCTACTGTAGCTTCTCTCTCTCTCTCTGTACAAGAGCCTGTTCCCAAAGTGCAGATGCTCTCCTGGCACTCCAGGCAGATTCTGAGAGAAACCAAAACTTTTGTAAACTGCACGCCCTCAGTCTAGGCCAAAGTGTGCCAGGACCACAGTGAGGAGGAGTTGTTGGACTTTTCCTTCATCCCATGGATGACAGGGATTTCAGCTTCCAGATCAACCAATCTCACATGACTCAGTTCGTACACCGGCAGGGGACTGGGTGCACCATCCTGGCAACGTGACATTCAAGTGGTTTTCTGTAACCCTGAAGAGATCTCCAAGTCACTCCCATTTTAATATTTATTATTGTCAAAGCACTCTGTCTAAAGAGAAACTCCCTCTCTAAACAGAGGGAATTTGGCTGTAGAAAAGGAGATCACAGCTCATTGCTGTGTTTCTGGCATTCCGGCAGGGCGTAAGGCGTGTTACTGCTTAGCAAACCCCGGCTACAAGAAGGGTTTAGTGGGCAGAGATAAGGGGGCAGATAGCCAAGTTGGCTATCATTTTCACTAACTGTGTTAAGGGAAATCTGTCTATTTTCTTTCTCATTTTAGATAAAATGCTCTGTTAAATCTAAATGGGATTTATAGCTTGACTTCCTAAGGAAACAAGGCTTACTATAGTCTTTGCTTTCTCTTTAAGTTTTGAAACCATGGATTTATAGCACGTTAGAGACCTCAGGAAGACCCGAGTTCATACAAACCTTGTGAAAATAGGTGACCTTGCTGAGAAAAATTTTCCAAGTTGGCATCCCCCATAAGAACCGCGTTTTAGAGACGACTCTGCAGCACATACATCTTGACAAACATGAGAGAAAATGGCAGAAATATGTTTGTGAGAGAGAGATGTGCAGCGTGAAAACTATAGCAATGGAAAAAGCTTGGCATGATACTTAAACTACAAGATGTAAATCGTGCGTTATTCTATGAATGCTTTGTTATCAAAGTAATGTTTTTTAGGTCTTTTGAAGTATATTCTTCTCTCGTTCTCACAAGAGTAATTAACCTTGGTGTCTTGGACAACGTTGCTTCCTCACTCACCTGTTTTTATCTCCATTAATGCAGTTCCACTCACTCTAAAGCTGTGGCATTGGTGTTGCTACTGTGCTATAGCTACATCTTAGTGGTAGGTAAATATTTTTAAATCTAATGTTCTGAGGCCTCATTAAACACAAAGAATGATTAGAAAACTCCAAGTTAAATGAGAGTGTCCTGGTTTTGACTGGGACAGAGTTAGTTTCTCTTTTTTTTCTTCTAAACGCAACTTGCCATGCATGTTAGCGTTTCTTTGAAGGCAGCTATAGTCCTGCAATACAGGTTATATACCTTGAGTTTATCTCTTCTAAAACACCACTCACCCTATTAATTAGAGTTTGAGATACCCTAAGTGATGTTCAGATCAGTTTCCAAAAAAATCAAGATGAGGAATAGAGGACTAGGAGAATATTAAGCATTTTGTCTCTGATATGAGCAAATGGTTGGAAAACAAAAGACATAAAGTCTTAAAATTGCTTCTGTCTCATTCTGGCTGTGAATGCTTTTTATGTAAATGTATTCTTGAAAGAGAGAGAGATAAATTCTATAGAATCATACTGTACTTCTTCAGGCACAGTTGATCTTCAATAGCATAGACATAAAGCCCTTATTACCCCCAGATGACTATATTTCATTTAAAAAAGTAGTTCTAATCTATGTGATGCTTTGCTGTGTTCCGGATATGAACCACATTTTCTTCTTAAACTTGTTATTTAAACTGTGTGCACTCAAAAGCAAAATCATTTTGAGGTGTTGTTACTAGAGCAGCTGTGTCTCAGGTGCTATCAGTGACAAGCAGCAAACTCTGCCATCAAAGCTGCCACCAAAGCACCATCAGCCACCTTCTGGTCTGGCCAGCTGGGTCCCCTCCCTCTGTCTTCACGTGGTCTGCAAGGTCTCAGCTGACATCCTTTCTAGCCATGGCAGCTACTTCAGGTTCCAGGTACCCCAGTTTCCCCCCCAGCAGTCTAGACCATGCCTGCTGACACAGTGTCATGAGAGATTTTTCTCAGAGGCTGTCAGTGCTGAATCTCCTTACTGGTAAATCAGTATGAGTGCAAGGGTTAGTGGCTGGAGGTTTCTGTTAGTTGTACGGCCAAGTGAATCTGTGCAAGATGCTGTGAGTCTACGAATGGAGGCAGGGGAGCCATGTTTTTTCTGCTTTATTGTCATTCTCCCTTGTGTGTTGCATTCTTGAATGCTTTTTTCCTCAACAAAACATCCGGCGTACTCCTTTGTTCAGAATAACCTCTGTCTCCAAACTTGTCAACGCTGTTGGGATACGAAATACATAAAAATGAATACATTCATCTCTCCAGGATATTATGTATAAGTAGTTGGCCGTTCATGAGATCCACTCTGTTAATATCATTCTCCTGTGGGTTGTGTTCTGTTTCAGTATGTTGTGACACCAAGACGGCAGTCTACAGCTATTGCCCTGCAGATTTTGGTGAGCCATTTGCTGGGAGATGCAGGCAGCCCCTATCTCATTGGGATTGTAAGTGAATTCTCTGCTTATTGACTTACTTTAGGGTAAAACTTTTAGAAGCTGAAAAACAGACTCAGAATTGTAGGCACTTCCTGATCCCAAACTAGAAATTACTCCAGTTGGTGGCCTTGATAGTAGAATACAGAAAGACATTTTTCTAAACATTTTTACTTGCATGCAGCTTTTGGTCCTGTGATACTGCAGGTATGTAGAATATAATCCTATACCTATAGGTGGGAGTAGCTCCATGCTGTGTGTAGAAATTTATTTTGATTTTAAATTTTCAAACTCATAAGTTTTTGAAGGCATACATTTTTGCAAAGACAGTGTTATGGGTGTTGTACTTGGATTTAAGCACTTTCTGCTAAGTTTGTGAGGTGGTTATGAAAATTAGTCAAATACTGTAAAACCTAAGACTCTTAGTTCAAATCTTGAAGTTCAAAATTTTGCAATTAGTCAATAATCTCTTGAAAATCAGAACAAGAGCGACTGCAATGGTTGCCTTTTGATACTACTTGGCATTCAAAGCTCTGGTCTCAAATTACCCTAAGTTTGGATTCCCATATTGCTTCAGACCTGATTTCTTTGCCCTTCCTACATTTACTTCATCTTGGGTGCTTCTGGACAAAGCAGCCTAGTACTGTTTTCTCCTTGCAGTTAATTTGTTTTTGTTCCAGTGGATGATATCTGTCAATGTTGTTTCCTTCCTCCCTTATTTTTGATTTAAGGCACAGTAATTCTGCACACAGTAACTAACCGGTCACCCACTTTGATTTTCTGCTTTACTGGACATGGGAGAGAAGTGAGATGTTGTTGTTGTTGCTTTAAAGTTTTGGTTATATGGAAGTTTCTTTTAAGAAGTTCACCTCAGGAATATCTGTTCTTTCTTTGTCACATGTTAACAGTGTTAGGGTTAGGCAGTGCCAGACAGAAATGCCAGAGTGAGCTGTGCCTGCAGGCACAGTTGCTGCTGGTCCAGCCAGCCAGGAGATCCCCCTCGTCCTCAAGTAGGTGAAAACCAGAGTCTCAACTGTGTAATCTGTCTGTCAGAGGAGAGCCCTCTCCCACTTGGAGATGCGTTCTGCTGGCTTTCCTTGGCAAACAAAGGCATCCCTTTGCTCGTTGGTGTGTTATGGAACGATTGCCCGTGCACTGGTTTGGCTGTATGCATGGGGGAACGCAACAACTGACACCCCTGTGGCATGAAAACCAGCTGAAATCTTGTGCAAAAATGGGAGGTATCTTAAAAGCTGAAATACATCTTGTGCATTCTCCCTTCTTTGACTCTTCCATTGATTTATACGTCCTGCCTGACAGACGAAAATGTTTGTATCTCTTACTGTTCTTTGCCATCGT